GCCTGCGTATTTCTCCCCGTGTTGCCGGGACGCGGTCCGCGCGCCTGTCCTGGCTCCTTCGGTGGCGGGAGGATGGGGTTCCGCGGCGCCCTTAGCTGACCCCGTGGTGCAGGCTAAGGATGGTCCTCACCGCAAAGAGCTGACTTGGAGCTCCAGTGACTCTCTGGGTCCCCAGAGGGTTGGACGGGGAGGTGTGACAGTCGACGTGGTGATGGTGGGAGGAAGGACGGGAGTGCTGCAACTCTGGGGAAAACAAGTCAGCGCTTTCGTAGTGCTTGTGCCCGCTTTTGCAGGGAGGCCCCTCCTTTCCAACGCACTGCTACAGCCCTAGCTAGCCCAGACACTTCTCGCTCCAAGCTTTGCGAGAGCCGCTCTGCGGGGCTTACTTCAGCCAGCAGTGCGGCGGACTGCATGAGTTGCGGTCCGCTGTCTGCTGCAAAAGCCCAGACAGCGCTTAGTCCTCCAGATCCCTTCTCACCGTCTCGCCCCCCACCTCCCCGCGCCTGGGTTCCAGTTTTGCATTGCTGACGACTCGCTCTTCTTGGCATGTCCTTCCTCTAATGTCACATCTATGAAGCCTCACCCTAAAGCCCCGGAACAACGAACCCCTCTTTGACCCTCTTGTTTCTGTTTAGCGCATCTTGGATTTTATGCGTTTTAGCAACCTAGTTCCCTGTCTGGTCTTTTAACACTACTGAGAAATGTGAGTTGCCTAATCAAATTATAAAATGATAGACTTGTGAAAAGCTGAAATGTTGACTTAATTCTGGGCATATAATGGATGCCCATGTTTTATTTGAATGATAGAATGGATGAATCATGTAGTTCAACTCATCTTTTATAGATAGGGGGAGTGGAGACCCATAGGATTAGATGACCTTGCTTGGACAGCCATGGATTTCCCATGTCAAATGCTATTCATTACTCTATTCACCTCCGTTCCTACAAAAAAAAAAAAAAGCCAAAAGAGCATTTGTTGGGCCATGCCTTCCTTTTTAGAGGTTACTAAACACGAATTATAAATTAACCAACGTAAGAAAAAAGATGCTACATTTTAATCGAAGCTGTATTCACTCAAAGAAATCCCTTATTAGAGAGTAATGTTCATTTTTATGTCTTATAGTGCCAATGTAATAGGATCATATATGATAGGAATTTGAGGTCATTTTATGATGCCTTTGTTTAGCAAAATAAAACTAGACTATCGTCCCCTTTCAGCAATACTATGTTGCCTGGAAAGTTTCCTACCAATGTGTGTGTGATTGGTATATACTGGAATATTAAAGTGGTCAACAGAAAGCAGAATTGGCTTTTGGTAGGTCTTTAGGCCCCCTGCCCAAATTCCTGTCCAAACATGGCCCTGAAATGCCAGTGTTCTTTTTCTTCCTTAATACAGGAAACGGATGTCATTAGTCAGTTTAAAGATAGCACTGATACTACACAATGAAACCCTGCCATCTAATTCCAGACACTGCCTCTTCTTTTTGTGTACAAAACACATATGTCCTCAAGGTTCCTGAGATAGCCACCTCCCAAGCTTAACTTCATTGGATATGTTACTAATGTTGGTTGGTACCTCTGGAAACGATGGGAGACTTGCTAATGACATATTGGCAGTCTCATCTCTGTGTTCCTAGCCAAAAAAGAAAAAAAAAGGTGGGGAGGGCTGGGGGTAGAGAAGGAATTATGGGAAAATAATTAGCAGCTGAAAGCAGCTATTACATAATCTTGGCTGCTTATTAATTTAGCAGAAGGAATGGCTTATTAAATTCTAATAGCAACAGCAAAACTGCAAACAACCTACAATTAACAGAGCAGGGCCCATTATTTTGTTAATACGTTCTCTTCTTTGGCAAGTATATGAGAACAAAATTTATAGAAGCAGATGGTCTTTTTCAGTAGATTATAGATGGTTTATTCCCCAGCCTTAGTACTAAGTGCTAATCGTGCATTCACTGTGAAAGACAAAAAGAAACCAGGCTGCCATCTTTGTTAGTAATTAGCTAGCTTGACTTTGATTTCCACATTTCTCAAATTGTAGGCTTTGTTGTATACATGTTTCTTCTGACCTCATATCTTTTTCATCTGTCATTTCAATACATTATCTTTTTTGTTCCTTTGTCTTTGTTTTCAGGATGACTGTACCTTATGTTAATAATACAAAAATTATGTGTGAAAAATCAATAACCAGAATTTGTACTTGTTTGTTAAATTTTTTAAAAAGTGCCTTGCTGTCATGCATCCTAACAGCAAGATGTGAGGGTAAAGATTAGATTTTTTAGCAATAAAATCTGGATACTATATTCTCTAAAGTTTGAAAAAATAATTTTAGTTTCCTGTTAAATTTGTGATAGCCATACATCTTTATGCCCGTTCCATATTTTTTAAAAAAGACTAATTGAAAAGGGAAAGGGGGCAATGTTTAAACCATATAGATGACTGGAGGGATGACTGATTGGTTACGAACACTGGCTGCTATTGCAGAAGACAAGTTCAGTTCCCAGCACCCACATGACAGTTCCTAACTGTAACTTATGTTCCCAGGGGTCTGACACCCTCTTCTGGCCTCTCTGGAAACAAGGCACAAAGGGATACACAGATATACATGTGGGCAAAACACTCATATATATATATATATGTACATGTACATATATATAATTAAAATAAAAGTTACTTTAAAAACTAACTAAAACATGCTCACATGGATGATGAGATGAAA